ATTGAGTAGCAAACTATTTTCTAAGGTGCAATTTTGTTTGTTTTATACTAGATTTCCCAACACTTTTTACATATTTTTATAAAAAATACCAAATTTTGTCAACAAATAGTAGTACTTGGTGTGCAATCCTGGTATTCCTATATGAGCTTGTCATATTTTTTTTGGGGGGGGGGATAATACACATAATTAAAAACAAGTTTGTTCACAAAATGTACTATCTGGGATGAAGTTTCGCGACATTCACTCCAAATCGTCAACGTTGTATCACCCAAATCAATTTTAGTGACTATTCGAGTACTTTTACACATCAAATTTTTCTACAACTTGGTTTAAAATATAAGTATTATTGGAAATATGTCTTGTAGGCAGCAATACTTGTATTATTTATTTTCATGTTTATAATTAAATGTTTATACTCTATGTTATAACTGATATGGCTCTTGAATATGTGATTCAAAGGAAAACTCATAAGCACGTGTAGAGTTATAAACGGTAAAACCGGATTCCTATTCTTGCCTCTAGGACTAGCTCAAGTGTTGCATGATGACTATGTTTTCCTAATCATGGGCATACATTCAGAGTAACAAGGATGCCGACAACTTTGAGCGTACAATGTTAGATGAACAATCATATTGAATTGACCCAACTTCTATGTTATACTTTAGATGCCATCGTCACAAGTCTAAAGTTCATAACATAGAGAGTTAAGTACGCCCAATTTCTTAGACCATGAGAGTATCGAGTCACTTCATGCCGGACCGTACACTTCGGGGTTGCTCCAACATCATTTGATAGGGTGGTCATAACGACAACTTTACATGTTTATCATAAAGTGTAACAAGGGGCAAGATAGCTCAAGAGTGGGATTTGCTCCTCCGACAATGGAGAGATATTCTTAGGGCCCTCTCGGTGTGAAGACATCCATCGTTGTCTGACCAGACACAAGTGACTTTCTCACATGGATGTCGGAACATGACAATGAAAAAGAACAAGAAAGCCAGTAACAAGGAGACCGCTATAGTGAGCAGGAGAATGCCTCAAGAGGATATTGATGTATCGCACCTTGGGTTTTCTAAAGTACCACGCAGCAAAAGGACTATCATATGATAACCAAAGGTTCACTCGAATATCATTCGTGTGGATATAGGGTCAACATGGATGTCCACAAGTTCGTTGTTTGACTATTGAACGAAAGGAAGTTTCAGTCATGTCTATATTTCACCAAACATGCAGGGTCACACACTTAAGGTACTTTTGATCCGCTGAGTAGTAATTGATTTAGGAGTATTGGAGAATATCACTGGAAAATTTCCAGGGACGACGGAATTTTTTTGAGAGAGAATCGAAAGTGTTTCGGGAAAACAAAGGTATTGGAAGAAAACCAAGTACAACTGGAGAGCCGAAAAAGTTTACGAACGCACAGAAAATACATCGCATGGTCCAGGAAAGTTCTGGAAGATTCTAGAACCCTCCTGAATGATCTGGAGGAGCCCATGGGGCTGCCTACTTGGCTGGCCCAAGTGGGG